ATTTCAGTAATTTGTAGTTTTATTTGTCGTAAAAATGTTTTTTATTATTTGTACCATTTGTAAATAAATATTCTTTTAATAGATTTGATTTTTTGCATTTTATAAATCTACCTTTAAATGTGAATTTTAGGAATATATTTTTGTGACTTAACTTTTGTTATTTTAATATCATTTTTTTCTTCATAAATATTGTTTTAAATAAATGAATGAATAATCTTACCATAAATCATTGCAATTTTTAGTAAATAATTGTTTGGTAAAACTAAATATAAATGTTTTGTATGTTTAATTTTCTTGGCTTTTTTTCTCAGCACTAGATATTACACAAAAGAAATTTGACTTATTTGATTTGTAAAAAATGACACCTAAGATGTACCAAATACTATAAACTATAGTATATGGTATAGTCTATACCAAATACTATAAACTATAGTCTATAGTATTTGGATGTACTTTTTGAATATTTAATTTGAAAAGAAGACAATGCAATGAATGAAGCTACAGTAAATATGCAGACAGGAAGTAGTTTAATAGAAGGATTGTCAAATATAAAAACAGGCAAGGCAGGAGGAGGACATGATGAAATTGAACCGGAAATGGTCAAATACATGTGAGAATAAGGTATAAACTGGCTATGGAAAATACATAAAGTGGGAAAACAAACAGTCCCTAAAGATTGGTCGAACAATTCATTCTGCCAATTTCCAAAAAAAGAAAACATGTAAACTGTGATAATTGTAGAGATCTTTGTCTCTTATTAGTATTCTTTAAAACATATACAAAAATAATAGAGAAATGACCAAGACAAGAAGTAGAAATGAGATTGGGAGAAGAACAAGCAGTATTTAGACCAGGAAGACAGACAAGTGACAACATATATATCAATAGGAACCTTATGGAAGGAAGCATAGAAACAAGGGAAAACTAGTATTTGCATTCATAGACCTAACAGCATCATTTGCTACAATATAAAGACAGATTATAGGAAAATGCTTGAAAAAAATACATGTACCAAATATATTCATAAAAATTATAGAAAGTTTTTACAAAGAGGTAAAAGAAAAAGTACAAATAAGTGGAAAATCAAAAGGGAGGTATTAACTGTTGCAGTTATATTTATTTCCTTCCTAGATAATGATAATAATAATTTGTAAATTTGATAATAATATATAATACGGAGGTAAAGTGTATATTTCACGCGATAAAAACAATTCTAGAATATATTTCCCGAGATAGACACAAAATAACATAACCTAACTAATCTCTTCTGTCAGGCAATTGTAAACAAAAGACATCTGATGCACTCTGCACCTATGCGCAAGCGTAACCAAAAAATTCGGGGTTAAACCATCTAACGAGTATGGGTTAAAATCTTGGTCAACTTAAACTGGTTTAAGCGCTAACCTAGTACTGAAAAACAGATTAACCATAAATATTTCGGTAACCGAAAAATAAATAGGTTAACCCAGCACTGAAAAACCGGCCCTTAATATTCTACCCATCGAGCAAAAAGACAAAAGAGGTAATGTAAAGGTAGTGGGACAAAAATATTGTTATGACAGGAAGTGTCATCTTTAGAGGTCACTTTAAACAAGGAAAGAGAGTCTCTTTCCTTGTTTAAGAAATCAAATTTAGTGTGGTTATGTTATTGTTTGTCCCAACTGTCACATGAAATTTTATTTATATTGAAGTTTTTTACCAATTGTGTCACTTTTTAGACTATTATAGTTAATATTTAATTAAAACTTTCTCGTCTGAAAAATATTTTATAGCTACTGTTAATAAGTGTCGGAAAATTTAAATTTAGCGCCTTTGAATTTCCGGATATGTCCGCCATCAGAGGTCACTTTTTCGGTCTCCTTTTTATAAGGATTAGATTCCCTCTTTTGTCTTTTTGCTCGATGGTTCTACCTAAGCTCTGATGTCACAATGGGCAGGGTTTTTTAAAAACCTTTCCAAAAATTTCTAATTTGTGTGTATTTGTGACATAAGAAGTTGGAAACATTGTTTTTTTTTTAATTTTTAGAATAATAAATAAGACTTTTGGTCATGAACATTCATTTTGTGCGATTGGTATTACATATTTGTTGTTCGTGAATTTGTGAGAAAGAATATCAAAGTATTAAGATATTTAACTATCAATGTTCATGCTTTAAGGATATGTTATTGTTTGATTTAAAACTTTATTTAACTTCGTAAATAAATTCAATGATTTATTGATTTATTTTGAAACATTCCTTATAAAAACAACAACAAAATACCTTGAAATACAGCAAAAAATAATTCAAGTTTTAATAATAAAGGATATAAAAATCATTACAATGCTGAGTTGAAAAGAACGAAAGAGCTGGCATATGATCAATTGATATTAACTTCAAAGAGTAGATCCAAGACGTGTTGGAAGGTAATTAACTATGAGTGAAATAAAACAAATGTTTTACATAATTCAACAACCAACATATCTTGTGACTCTTTCAATAACTTCTTTGTTGAAATTGCTGAGAATGTTATAAAATTCCTTCCAAATACACCAGACGACACAATTTTGAACTATCAAAAATTTCCAGCTCCATCAAATTCATTTTTTCTGTCTCCAACCAATCAACAAGAAGTATTCGCAGCTATAAAAACATTAAAAAAATTCAAATTGTTTGGATACAAATGAGCTAAACGCATCTTTTATCAAAAGCATTAGTGAAATAATTACTAAACCTTTAACACATCTCATTAATAGTAGTTTTTCAATCGGGATATTCCCAACTTCATTTAAATACTCATTGTTCATATTTTTAAAAAGGGCGATCGTGACTTTGTAGACAATTATAGACCAATTTCCATTGTTTCGATATTCAGTAAAATAATCGAAACAATTCTGAACAAGCGTCTTATATCGTACTTCGAAACAAATAACTTTTTTACTAGTTCACAATATGGGTTTAGAAAGGATCGTTCCACAACACATGCACTTTTAGATGTGATGAGTGCCATAGTTGATGGCCTTGAGAAGCATAATCACTCTGCCATAACGCTGTGTGATCATTCAAAGGCCTTCGACTGTATTTCTCATGATATTTTGCTAAAAAACTGCATTTTTACGGTATAAGAGGTACTCCTTTGGAACTAATTTCATCGTATTAAAGGATAGATACCAAGCAGTCAAGTACTGAAATTTCCTCCTGAATTTAAGCAGATAAAGCATGGAGTTCCACAAGGATCAATTCTTGGCCCTCTATTTTATTTATAATATATGTTAATGACTTACCCAATTTCATGGTTCCATTTAAAATAGTTTTATTTGCAGATGACACTATTTTTGATTTTTCTGATAAAAATCGTTCAGTTTTAGAAACCACGTCTGAGTATGTAAATTCCAATGCTCAATCATGGTTCTTAGCAAATAAACTTAAACTAAATGATAACAAAACTTAAAATTTAATTTTTTCGTCTACCTTCGATGTGAATGTTGAAAAAAATAATGTCAAATTGTTGGGCATAACAGTTGACAACACATTGACTTAGAATAACCATATTGACCATCTCAAAGGTAAACTTTCTAGTACCTAATTTTTACTCAGACAATTAAAACTTGTTACAAGTGTTGATATCTTGAAAATAACGTACTTTTCTCTTTTCCATTAATTTTTAAGCTATGGTGTTATTCTGTGGGGAAACTCCTGCAATGCCCAAACAATATTTAAATTGCAAAGAAAGCAATAAGCATAATTGCAAAAGTTAGCTATTTGGAATCTTGCAAACCGTTGTTTATTAAATATAAGATAATGCCCTTGCCAACATTATGGCTATACAGGGTTAATGTAGAAATACATAAAAGCGATGATACTTTAATTAAACACTGACTTACATAACTATAGCACAAGAGGTGCAAAGATCATCAGAACAGTTAAGTATCGTTTGAGTAAATCAGAAAAAAAATTCAATTGACTATAATATATACATATGTCCTACCTAAAGATTTAAAACAACTTTCGATAAATAAATTTAAAGTGTAAGTCTGAAAAGATACCTTTTAAGATTTGCTTTTTACTCTGTTAGTGAATACTTTGATCACTTCAAGATAGTAACATGAAGATGGATGTATTCACTATGTTGGTATAAGTCTTATTTTGTATATTTTATGTTTTTTATGTTATGCGCATTAATGTATTTTCATCTCCTATTGTATTTTTATACATATAATTGACAAACAAATGTAAAATTTTTGTAAATTTGTACACGTAGTTAAATAAATCTTGAATCATGAATCATACATAACATTAAAATATGAACATCCATAGTAGATATCTTTATACTTTTATATTCTTACCTCACAAATTCACGAATAACAAATGATACCAATCGCACATAATGAATGTTCATAACCAAAAGTCCTTATTTATGCAAACAATTAAAAAAACCAATATTTCCAACTTCTTATGGAAGAAATACATACAAATTAAAAATGTTTAGAAAGGTTTTTAAAAACCCCCACCCATTGTAACGTCAGAGCTTAGGTAGTCCATTGCCTAGTCTAGATTGTCAAAGTTCTCGTTGATATTTTTAGCTACTGAACAATTGTTGATTGGAATTTTTTGTCGAATTGAGCTTATTTATCAATACGGCATTATGTGTACCATGATTTAAGCAAAGTCATTATTCAACATAATTACTTTGCTTATTTATATCATTGATCTACCTGATCAATAATGATCTCCATCTCCTATATTTAATAATGTTTTTTTTATATATAAAAATACCCTTTACCTTCAACATACATGTACGTATTAATTACAAAACAACAGATCATCTAACTATCTGATAGTCAGAGGTAGTAAAACATAAACAATAAAATAACTTAATTATTAATAGGAGATACTTACATCGAAAAAAATTACAATTTTTAAAAAGTATATCTCAGACTCATTTTCTTCACTTATTACAAAATTTGAAGACTGAAAAATGACCTTATGTCTTACTTATCGATGTCAGTTCGGGGAATGTTGCTACAAAGCACCTGGTTGGCTGTTAGAAGGTTTCGGCAGACGTTTCAAATCATCTAATTGGATAAGCTAAAATAAAAGGGGTACTTTTTTATTACTTAGATAAAAATATTTTAAGACAGGCGTCCGGACTCAAAGTCGTAAAGATGACTCCATTATGTAAGTCGAAAACTCGAAGCATATTTCATACCATTATACCAGTTACTCACCTTTTCAATAGGTATACAAGCTAACTCGCCTCCTTGTTGAGGTGGTGGAAGAGGGGCAGTTGGCGTAACGGGAGGCTTTAAACCCTTTTCTTGAGCTTCCCTTGCTCGACGTTCTTTTAATTTTAAGGAGAATATGGCCACCGATCTTGCGCGTTTCATAAGGCTCTGTTTCACTCTAGTCTTTTTAGCAGCTAACTCCTCTGCCGCAGCTAAAAAAATATATTTCAGATATCAAACAAATAGAAATTTGAGGACAAAATTAGAACAACGCAAGAAAAAATGAGACAAATTATCAAAAAAAATGTGTTCGCATTTATTGTGCCTATGGAAAGCCAGACACGTGTTGTTTTACTTCGGATAATAAGTAACCAGTCATCTCCTACTCTATTTGGTCCGACCATCGTACTGGAGATCTTCCTCTAGATCTTTTACACGCTACGTTACCTTCAACTATTATTCGCTCTATGCCCTTCTCTTCTTCTAGTTATATGTCTAAAATATCTCAGTCTATTTTGGTTGATAGTTGTGATGAGTCTAGTTTTTATGTTAAGTTCTGCTAGAATTGCGTTATTTGTGCGAAAGGCGTAATTTTGTGTTTTTTTGTGACGTCAGTGTTATTCCAAATTTTTGTGAGTTTGGCTATTGCCGATCTGGCTGTTGTGATGCGACCACTTCGTAACCTGCCATGATTCTTAACTCTGTCTGGCTGTTTTTGATTCTATTGATGATCATCACTTTGGTTTTCTGCATATTTATTTTCAAACCATATTCCGTACTAACCTTATTTTCAAAACCGTATTCCATACTCACTTCCCATACCACAAGTCATCAAGTATCTGAGCCAAATCTTCTTAAAATAATTTGTAATAGATTTTAGAAAGTAAACCCTTTCATTTATAATATCAGTCATATTATCCGAAGTAGACTGGTTTATAATGCAATATGTTATTTAACTGCCGCCAATTACATTCTTTAAAGGTTACACTATTCAAAGCATAAAAATGCTTAGACATTGTTGTGCCACCCCTATCATTATGCAGTAATGGCTGTCTAGAAAGTTCCACTCCTTACAATAATTATTCACCTATTCAAAACATATCCATCTACCCATTCCGATAAAAAATTAAAATCTCTTAACTATTAATATTTCCACCATTGATATATCCCTAGCAGCTCATCAAAAGGCTTCCACACCTCCCTCACTTCTTAAAATATTCAACGATCATACCAGAATTCAAATTTCTATTATGTGATATAACAAAATCATATATAGTTTTTACTAAACAATCTAATAAATTAACAGGGAACCAACCTTTAGCTGCAGCTTCTTCTGGAGTCTCCTGGCTAGAAACACTCTTAGCACTATCACTAAGCGATGGGTCCTGAGGAACCAAAGGGCGCGCTCTTGCAGGAATTTGGGGTGGCGATCTTGGCCTTGGAGGCCATAATGGGCTACTTTTTAATAGATCTGAATCTGAACTAGACGCATCCTATAAAAACATAAGTATATATATATATATATATATATATATATATATATATATATATATATTTTATATATATATATATATATATATATATATATATATATATAATAAGAATATAAAAAATAAGTGGATTATTGACCAGGACCTATTTACTCACTTTTGGAGCAATGCAATCGGTACTTCGATGTATTTCTGAGTCTTCTTTTAATCTTCGAGCCCATTCAACTCCTCCAGGACCGATGGTTAAATGATGCATGGAATCAGCCTGTAAATTTGACAATAATATAGAAATCATTCAACGTAACATAAATTGTAAATATATTTCATAATATAGAGACGAAATGAAATATTTGGAAATAGATTTTCGAGTGTATGCATAAACATATTCTGGTTGGTGGATATAAATCATATGCTATGTTTTGTATTTTGTATGAGCGAAGACATCTTCCTCAATGTCGTCTGCCTCTTGCGATTGCTCGGGAAAGTTTATCAACCGATCACATTTCTGAAGCTTTTTCAGGCGACCTGCCCATTGTAGCCTGGCTAGTTAATATTTATTATTACTTGTAAGAGTATAAGTTTGTGTCCCATAGAGTATCAATGGTATTACTACTATTTTATAAATTTCGAGGTTTATTTCAAGAAAATGTAGATAGGTATATCATGAACTATTTAATAATATGTTATGATAAAGGTCATGATATGGTGTAATTCACATAAAGTAAAGGAATGGGGAATCTGGGTGAAGAACAATGACTAAAATACTCTGTGTTCTTCCTATACCTACAAAATATTAAGCTAATACTCAAATTCTTACCTCAACTGGTGGAGGTGTCCATTCCTTCGATTTTCGGGGTCTAAATGGAGGAATTTCCGGTATACTATCTATGGTAATTCCTCCTGTATTTCTGTGGCTGTGTCCTGAAGAAGTGTTCGACGAGGAAGCACCGGGAGTTGTCGGAGTGGGCACTGGTGTTGTCTCTTTTGATAACTCTAAATCGTGCTGCCGTAGTTTCTCCATAGATTTCTTTAAGCTTTCTGGCGCCTGGGATACAGTGTGGCTAGGAGATACGGAAAATCTGCAAAGATGGAATAATTTCTTAGTATCTTCTCAGAATGATTTTATGTGTATTAAATTGTCCAAAGAGTATAATAACAGAGTACTGGAAAGTAAAATCAATAAAAATTAATAGTAAATTAATATTAATTAATAAAAGAAAAGTAAAAAGTGAATATATAGTAAAAAATTTACCTATAGGTTATCGTAAACTTCGCTACATGCAAGATGTCATGGCCATAATATTAATTTAAAAATGTATAAATTAGAAAAGGGTGGTCTTAGTGTTTAGTGCCACTGATTTTTACACCTCGTCATAAGCATTGCCTATTATTAAAATAGCATGGACCAGAATAAAAATTAACTGTTGATATTTGTTTAGATTTATTTGACTTTTGCCATGATATGGTTATAATATATTTCAAATTAAAGATCATTTTCTTTTAAAAATCATGTATCTGGTGCAATGTTGTCTCAAAGAGAAAATTATTAACATAGAAGACTTGATGTCTTCTGCGATGCATTTCTAATGGTTGAAAAATATGCCCTGAACTTAGAATTAACAAAATTTTATTCGCAAACAAGAAAACGAAAATGTAATCGATTGATTACGTAATTTTACGCCAGCCCGCTCGCTACGCTACTAATCCCTACTGTTTGCTTGCTACGCTACTGTTCTAATCATGCTATACGGCCCATAAAGCAGGTGTTCCAGATTACCAAATAACGGGGCTTTGACGTCACGATGGGTCTAGAAATTTATCGAGTGAATTAACGGTGAGCTAAGAAACTGATAGAATTCCAGAATAAAAGGAAACATATACAGGGTGTGCAGAAACCCTCCTGACAAACGAAGACCGGAGTTTCCTCAGATAATTTTAAAACAATTGACCCAATTTACCTAGTCAGAATGGTTTTAGTTAGAAAAATGAAAACTGGTACGATTATTTATCATCCAGGATTGAATCGATTTCATAAATTGCTAATTTTAAGTACCGATCATAGGCGTCCATTTTGGGTAGGTCAACGGTTATTTTAACGCATAACTTTTTTGCCTTTATCTTTTAAGCATTCGTGATAATAGATTATTAAATTTTCATATTAAAATGTTATAAATCAATTGTGTTTTTAGTGTTGGTGTTAAAAGATTGTAAATAAATAAAATAACAGTGCAGTACTTTAAATTTAATAGTGTGGTATGATTTGGATTCAACTGCAGAAATTTAAAGATGTTTCTCGATTTTGAAATTGATCAAGACGTTTCCAAGGAACACAAAGTCAAATTTTAAGTCGGAATAAAGAATGACGGCGTTTGCCATGCTGTCTATCTATCTAATTAGTCTTCTTCGGTCCATCTTTGGGCATAGGCCTCCCCAATCATTTTCCATTTTTCTTTGTCTGTCGCTGCAGTCATCCATCTAGAGCCCACGTGCTTCCACGTTGTCTATCGAAAAAAATTTAGTTGCAAAATTTTCTGACATCAATGAAAAAGTTATGGAAATGTTTATCTCCGATAAAAACAGAAGGATTGAGTTTCATTTTAAGAAGTAGACTTTCGGTATTTTTCGGACTATTTTTTTTATTTTCAAATCATCGCCCTCCTGAACAAAATTATAACCAGCCGCCACTGCTGCGGTTTATTCCTTTTCAATATAGTACATAAAAAATAAATTCTAGGAACAAAAATTCCCGGCAAGCAAAATATTGGTGGAGAGCTGGGATTTACCACTACAAATAAAGTTTTAAAAATTCCCATCGATCGTATGTGTCCTATAAAAGTTATTTGGGGTCAAAGGTCAAAATTTGAGGTTTTTTGATTTTTCTCGAAAATGGTAAGTTTTATCAAAAAAAAACCTCAAACCAAAGTTGTAGATCTTATAATTTTCTACAAAAATAGTCGTAATGATTTTTTCCTAAGAGTTACCATTTCCGAGATATCGCTATTCTTAGAGTCACATTATACATGATATACACACATAAGCAACGTGCATATATATATATATATATATATATATATATATATATATATTATATATATATATATATAGAAATATAATCCTCAGCAACCCAAGTAGACCGATGACCCGGAAGCAGACACTGCATAACGGAATCAATAAATAGGCGCTACAAACACATTTTAATGTTCTTTTTAATTCGTAATTTGAATGTAAAACAAAAGTTTCGTAATTTGTAAAATTGTAATTTTTCAAATAAAACTTTTTTAAAACATACGTTGAAGTACTCCCAACATTTCTGGCGCTGCGAACCACAGGATATTTCATACAGAAACATAGTCGTTTCCTGGTCTACGTTAGTTTAATGAAATCCTGAAGAACCTGGTAGAAGAGAAAAATGTACTGGAAATCAAACACGATCATCCTTGCGTAAGTTTTTCCTTTTCTTTACCATTGTTATGAGCATTTATTATTTTTATTGAATTTTTTCAAACATTTAAATTGAATTTATTATTTATTGTTTATTGAATTTATATTATTTGAAATATTTTTACTTCAACGAATTTTTTATATATTTGCATTTATATTTTTACATGTTTACACATATTTTATGAGTACATTGAATAATATTTCCCAAAATAGTATCGAAAATTTAAGTTTACTATTCGATAATTTGAATTTAAAATTAAAAAGAAACCTACAAACCTCTAAATCCAAGCCTGCATCTAAATTAAATTCCAAAATGCCGATGACCAATAGCGATATTGCTAGCCTTTGCTCAACTTTGCCCGAATTCTCGTCTGGAGACAACCTCTCCACCTTTATCAAAGCAGTAGACAATTTAATAGCTTTCTTAGGCACCCAAGATTTAAATCCGTCCCAAGAGTTTATTCTAAATTCCCATATCGTTTCTCGAATTAAAGGAGAACCTAGAAATTTCTTAAACTATTCTAATAAAACTAATTGGACAGAGATTCGTCCAGCCTTATTAACTAAATACGGAGACAGACGTTCCGAAGACATATTAGTAACACAATTATCCACCACCGTCCAAAAACATAGTGAATCCTACGACAATTATCATCAAAGAATAACGACAAATCTAAACGACTTACTTCAACACATCACCCTAAACGACAATCCCGCGACAGTAACTTTTAAAACCCCATACTTTAAAAATATCGCCCTTAAAACTTTCTGTACTGGAATCAACGAACCCTATTGCGAATACTTATCGCACTTTGAACTAAATTCCCTGGAAGAAGCCCTACAAAGGTGTATTGCATACGACAATCACAAAAATCAACAGCAATACATGAACTTCCTTAAGAGCCAACAAAATAAAAAGCCCCCAATGAAAAATAAACCCTATCAATCTTCAAATAATCAAAGATTCACAAATTTCCAACCCACACACTCAAACTTCCAACCCACGCATTCAAATTATGTGAGACCCTCGACTCACAACACACCTTTCCACAACACAGAGCCCAACTTTAACTTCACTCCACAACAAAACTATAATTTTCCTCAAAGACAAAATTTCGGTTCTTACGAACAAAATCAATCCTTCCAACGAAACAATGTCCCGAAAAATGCCCAACAAAGATTAAATAAATATAAAGCTCCTCGACCCCAACCAAATTTTGCCACTCCAATGAGCGGTGTTCAAACTACAACAACTAGAAACCATCAGCCCATGACAATTACAACAAACAGAAGCCACAATTTTCACATAGACTCAAATGATACCCAATATTTCGAAAACGATTTCGAAAATTACGAATCCGAACAAGAGCCCGATTTACATGATGAAAATCATCAGGATTTTCAAGCCATCCCGTTACAGGATCACCCACCTCCTGTATAAACCTACATAATATAGAAAGTTCCCCTGGGTTACCCTGCTTCGTCACACCCAAAACACATCTACGCGTTTTGATTGACACCGGAGGTTCCCATTCAATTATAAATCCACGAGCTCTCGACCTATTTGATAAAAAACATATTTATCGCAAACCTTTCTCGCTAACGTCAATGAAAATTACTTCCAAGCATGAATTAAATATTAAGACGCCACTATTTCTGGAATATGGAATTCCACAAAAATTCGACGTAAAAATCGCTGATTTTAGTCAATACTTTGATATCTTACTAGGAAATTACGATTTAAAACGTTTCAATGCCACTATCAATTACGCGACTCATACGTTAACCTTTGAGAATCCTCATGTTACCATTCCATTTCAAACATTGTATCAAAAAATCCCCGTAAACATAAATAACGGCGAAGTTTTATTGCGTGAAAGACAATTTCAAGGTTTTAAAATTCCCAATTCCATTCACGTTGCAAAAAATGGTTTTATAGAAACTATACACTTGGCATTTCCGACGAAATTTGATAAAAAGATTGAAGTCGAGAACTTCTGTAATTATGAAATCGCAAAAATTCCCACACATTTTAATGAAAATAAAATACGAACTTGGCACTTAAACAACGAAGAAAAGTATAAAATTATAAATCTTTGTAAAAAGTACAAAGACGTGTTTTACAATGAAAATAATCATTTAAGTTTCACGTCAGCTGTTAGACATGAAATTAAAACGAAAGATGAAAATCCAATTTATGTAAAGGGATTTCGGCATCCCAAAGCAATGCAGGAAGAAATAAAGAAACAAATAAATAATTTATTAGATAATAAGATAATTCGACCGTCAATTTCACCGTACTCAGCTCCAGTTTGGATAGTACCAAAAAAAGCTGATGCTTCAGGTCAGAAAAAATTTAGATTAGTAATTGATTACAGGAAGCTCAATGATCATACCGAAACTGATCGTTACCCACTTCCTCAAATAGACGAAATACTGGATAACTTAGGAAAAGCCAGTTATTTCACAACTTTAGATTTAGCTCAAGGTTACCATCAGATTGAAGTTCATCCGGATTCTATTCGGAAAACAGCCTTTTCAGTTCCGCATGGTCACTTTGAATTTTTACGCATGCCCTTT